AAATATATAGTATCATTAAAACGGATTCATATGCATAGGTATTTAGGTAGTACCTACTTAAAACAAAATATCATAATAATAATAGTTTGTAAAGTAATTTAATTAATTAATTATAACTCATCGTTGTAATATTATTAGATTTTTTTTTTATTTTACATTAACTAAAACAAAAACAATTAATTAAAACAACAATAATAATTTGTATAGTGACTAATGCTATATAAAGCTAAAAGCTTTTACATTATTTATTATTATAAAGAGTCTATTATGATATAGGTAAAAACATCAAATATTAATTAAAATTATTATTTCATCTACCAACTACTCTTAACGACTCCAATAAATAATACGTATAAAAATCAATAATTTATGTCTATTTTTTCATAGTTGTTTTAATACTTAAAGCTAATCGCATAAAAAATAAAATAGTACAAATAATTAACTTGTGGTTTTTAGATAGGTATTTTACGCATTATAATAACTTATCCAAATAGCTATCCTAGCAAAAATTATCAGAATATGACTCATCCCAAAAAATTATTTAAGGAAAGAAATCTACGTGGATAGTTAGGGCAACCAAAACTACAATGAGTAGGACATGGCAAAATTTCCAAATCTTTAACCCGATTAGACGATATTTTCAACCTGTAGGTAACATTGTTGTTGTATGTGTTATGTTAGTATAACTTTAAAAAGTTGTTAAACATAAACGTACGTCTGGTAGAACCAGTTGTAAAGTAACGGAAAAATAAAAAAATCTATATTTATATTCAAATGATTTAAAACTTAACATTGTATGCCTGTATCCGTAGTATAATGGTTGTCAATCGTGACACAATGACTTACCTATAGAATTAAAAGTCAATCACATTATTCACTTAGGAGAGGTTGGGTTAGGTTAGGTTAGGTTATTCACTAAGACGAGGAAACAGACATTCGTATACAAATCTCTCTGTTGAAAGGAGGTATATCTATTAATAATTGTTGTATTTATATGTAAATTATAATTTAATACTCACATATTTTTTCTTACATACACATAATAATTCAAGAGTGAAAACTAGATTTAACTTACATAATATATTACTATATTTACCATTTACAATATTATGCATTTCCAATTTATTGGTAAAATTGTAAACAAAAATATATATAGTAATAAAAGCATAATATTATTTAATGAAGTTTATCAAAAACTACGATTATAAATAATGATAATACTTAAAAGTTTAAATTGACTTTTATTATTAAACACCATTACACTTATGTTCAGTAGCATTCAACTTTATTGGACTCGTGAACAATTTAATTTTTTGTTT